TTGCAGGGTATACCCTTTGGTTGGTTGATGATGCATGGAGGGGATTGTAACCATGGCAATGAGATGATATATGATAGAATGAATGTAAAATTAATGTTCTCCCATGTAAATTATCACATAATTCACAATAAAACATTTAAGAATAAATAAATAAATAAATAAACAAAGGTCACCGTGAGTCAGAACTGACTTGTCATCACCTAATAGTAACAACAGCACAGACTGTAGCTAGGAGGGTTATTCGCAAGCCTTCTCCTGTATGCACCTACAGAGCAATTCCATCCCACACATGGACTGCAGTGAACTGGCAATGATCCAACGGTAACTGCTGTTTGGGGAGCAGACTGTAACTCAGTTGACTCAGGCGGCTTCATGTGTGTCAGAGAACTGGGCTCCACAGGGTTTCCAGTGGCTGATTTTTCAGAAGTAGATCACCAGCCCTTTCTTCCAAGGTACCCTTGGTTGGATTCAAACAGCCAACCTTTTGTGCCCAGAGGAAGCCCATTCCCCGAGCCTGTAATATTTACCTGTTCATATGCTTATTATCTATTACCTCCCCTGACCACCCTAGAATACCACCCCCTGTCTGTCTGTCTGTAGTCCTGCGGTGGCTTGCATGTCTTTATGATGCTAGAAGCTATACCACCAGTAGTTCAGATATCAGCAAGGTCACCCATGGTGGAGAAGTTCTAGCAGTTTCCAGATTAGGAACAAAGGCCAGTTTCCAGATTAGGAACAAAGGCCTGGTGATTCACTTCTGAAAGTCAGTCAGTGAAACCTTACGGATCACATCATGCCGAAAGAGGATGCCCTAAGCCAAACCCACTGACACCGAGTGGATCCCATCACGATGCACCAAAATAAACTCTATTGTACGTGGTCTTTTTTGTTAAAGCAAAATGTAGGTTTCTACTGTGCAGAACCTGAAGCTTTTGCAGCTAAAATTCTACGCTTGGGGGACTGGTTTCATATCCTCAATTGGAACATTGTGTTAGAGCAGTTAGGGGGTGTACTCAGGGCAACCGGAGACTAACCTAAGGAAGCCCAAGTCAAATGGTTGCAGGGTGCTGAAGACCCAGGGATGGGCCTGAAGTGGTAGTGATTTCAGAGAAAGTCAGAGTTCATCATCTTCCATCTTGTTTCTCTGTTCAGGCCTCCCAGTTTCTTAGTTCATTTAGCAAACACTTGTGGGAACGGCACAGGATGTTGGCACTGTTGTAGGTACTTGGGATTCTGCCATCATCACAACTGGCAGAAATCTTGACTCAAGTGTGGTGTACCGCTTGCTGGCGTTCCGGCTGCTGTGCAGTCAATTCCAACTCATGGCACCCCCATGTGTGTCAGAGTAGAATTAGTCCATGGCATTTTCAACTGCTGTGATCCTTAGAAGGCGATTGCTAGGCCTTTTTACCAAGGTGCCTCAGCTTGGATTTGAAGGACCAATCTTTTGATTAGTAACAGAGTGCTTAACCATTTGCACTTACAGCTTGTTGTTGTTATTAAGTGCCGTCGAGTCAGTTTCGACTCATAGTGACCCTGTATAGGGTTTCAAAGAAGCGGCTGGTGAGCTTGAATCAATGACCTTGCGGTTCAAACCTACCTTGCAGTCCAGTGCATTAACCCACAGTGTCACACTTTTTAGAAGCTCAGTAAGTCTCTTGATAGCCTTACAAACAGGAATGTTTTTCTTAAGAACCTCAACGTTATCTCTTTCAAAAGTAGCCATCAGTTAAGATAGTAGCCCTTCCTAGGTTCTGGTTACTGTGGGCAACAGACCAGCTCCAAGCGGTGACTCCCTCCTGGCCATAGAGGACCAGGAAAGGTTGGTCTGTCTTTTGGGTAGAAGCAATTGCCTACCTCATTGGGATATCCAATTACCAAGTGACTAGGAGCCCTGGTGTGGCACTGTAGGATAAGCACTGGACTGGTAATCACAAGGTCAGCGGTTCAAGCCCACCAGTCACTCTTTAAAAATCCTATACTGGGTCATAAGGAGCTCTGGTAGCGTAGTGGTTACGAATCGGGCTGCAAACCTTAAGGTCAGCGGTTCGAAACT